AGGTTGAACGATGATGATGATGATGATGATGACAACGATGATGATGATGATGATGATGATGATGATGATGATGATGATGATGATGATGGTCAGTATAAGATACAAAGGTGACACCGTGTTAATGACAGATACTCGTTCTGGGTATGACGATAAACTATATCCGGCAGCAAGGCTCCTGATCGGGAGATGGGAGATTTTGGCGAGCGTAGAACTACCTGTTAACCGTTGTTGTTCCCAGGTCCACCATGGTCCGGGATGGTAGCACCCGTTAGGGCTGCAGCTGTGGGTAAATAGTGAACCCCACAAACAAAAATCAACAGTGTTTTTTTATAATAAAATGAGCAACAACACATTGTATATATTTGGAAAGCATAATGGTTTTCAGTTGCCTTCTCCACGGAGTGGAATTCAGATGTTTTTCCTTCTCTTAGATAGATTGTTATATATGGTTAGAGGGTCCAGTATAACTAGAAATGTAACTCATACATGGGGTGGTGGAAGAAGTGGATGCATGCCTTGCCCAAGAACATTTGTGTGAAAGTGAACGCAACTGATTATTCTGGAATTTGAACTTGATTTGCCGATTCCACGTTTCGTGGCTATATCCCTTCCATTACTAGCACATCTAGAAACTCAATACTTAACCTAAATAAGAAATGTTTAGCTTGAGTTTTTCAACTTTTGGACTCCTCCCACTGCTAAGATTTTGGGAAAGTTTTTTTCCCTATTATATAAAATAATATCAAACTTTATGTCGATGTCACGGTCATATGTTTTCCATCCATTTTCTCTTTAAGTTCACAGGCACTTGTTTTCTAATTCATGTTGGTTTGTTTCTGCAATAGTAGCTGGAATCTCGAGTTACAGGCAACATATGTTTCAGAAGCATTATATGACATTTGTATTGCCGATAAAGATATATTTGACAAAACAACAATCGGCGTATGTACAGCCCACATGCACTCCACCACCACACACACACACACACACACACACACACACACACACACACACACACACACACACACACACACACACACACATATATATATATATATATATATATATATATATATATATGCACAAATTTATACTTATATACACATATACACACACACGCACGCACACACACACATACATATATATGCTTGCAATGGATTAAATCCGACTAATACAGAAATAACGTACACACAGAAAATATATTAAAATGTATATATATACTTATGCATATACATATACTTATAAATGTATATATATACTTATATATGCACCCAATTATCATTGTAAAAGTATCGCTGCGGAAAAATACCAATTCAAATTTGAATTAGAGAACATTAAAACTATCTCAAAATCTCTCAACGTTAAAGAAAGGAAAATATGGAAGACGCTAAGTGATGTAAATGTAAAAATAACTATATATAAGGAACACCCCTGAACCAAACAGCCAGGCTACCCGCACATATGATCTGATTCTAGTGGTGAAGGTTTCTGCAGAACAAACCACACTTTTTTTTGAGAACCGAATACAAAGAACTGGCGCATATCTTGTGCCACGAGGTATCAAAACGACTCTCCTAGGGCATGTATATAGTTATTTTCTAAGCATAGCTTAGATGTGGCACAGAAAGCATGGGGCACCTAGTGAGGATCGAACTCACTTTTCAATCGTAATTGATCTAGCGAGACAAGCTTACTAACTATTACACCACGCCGAGGTGCCCTAGGGCAAGTATATATGGGAATTAGCGTGGCGTCTCAGTGATCACTATACGCATTACTATTCGCATTACTATTCGGTAGTTACTATTCGAGCGAATATTATCGAGAAAGTACTAGTAGTGCAAGTGATATTCGAAGGCGTCTGACACCAGCATTGTTCAACGGCATTATTATTAGTTTTATTTGTGATTACAAAATCTCTACTATAACAAGCATTACGAAAGTGACAACGAGTATTGGCTGACATCACAAAAGTGTCAAATGAGTGTTCGTTAACATCACAAAAGAAAGTTAATTTTTGCCTTATTAGTGTAGATATTTCCATACGGAAATGCGCTTTCTTCTCGCCATTAAGCTCACGAATTCTTCTTGTTTCAATGCCAGGAAAAATAGAGAAAAGATATGTGAGGCGGGAACTTGTTCGAAGGAAATGCCGTCTGTTTTGCATAACAGATACAACTGCAAGATAAACAACAACAACAACAATGATAATAATAAAGGAAAAGAAGAAGGAAGAGGGCTAAAAGGACGAAAATGGTGTCTCTTAAATCCGCACTGTAAAGTGGCAAAAATATGATGAAACCTTTCTGAAGTAGCGTAGCAAGTGCTTAAAAGATGGTGAAAAAAAAAAAGGGAAGGTAACGAGGAATAGAATGTGGAAAAAGAAAACTCTTCACGGAGAATTTAAAAGGCAAGTAGACAGTATTAGAATCATGGTCATGGTTACGTCGACGAGACTTGAAAAGCGAAACTTTTATTTAAATTAATGTCACCTAGAATAAATGCATCAGGACCAGCAAAACTCACGAAAAAGCAAATTTCGCTTTTGTAAATTAACAGGTAAAATGGTAAGCCACATAAGTAAAAGCAGCAAATAGGTTAAAAAAGGATGTAAAAATACACTCGTCCGAGTAGGAACAGATATATACTGTGAATTGTGCAAAATATTTTGGTTTGTAAAAGAAGGGTATCGACAAAGGCTGTCTGAGAGAATAAAAAGAAAAATATTCTTGGACATTGACGTGCAGTCAGACCACATTATCCAAGTCAAAAGATCTGATCTGTTTGATGGAAACAGGAAAACTTTCTGACAAGATATGGATGGGATTGTAAAATTATCTATCTATCTATCTATCTATCTATCTATCTATCTATCTATCTATCTATCTATCTATCTCATTCTGTTCATTATTTATCTGTCTCTCTATCTCCGTCTTAGTCTGTTCATATCTATCTATCTATCTATCTATCTGATCGCCTCCAAACGAATACATTACGAGAACACTTTTTTTTCCTAAACCAATTCTTCCATTCTTAGCTCTGCTCAGTTCTTTCTTTCTGATTCCGATGTTGTCTATGAGTTGATCGATGATGCTTCTTCCTGGTCTATCACTTGATCCGTTTCTATAATTCAGGTCCCATAGTATAAGCTGATGCAAAACATCGTATTTATCTCTTCAAAAATGGCCCCTAAATCATACACGTATTTCAAGGATTGTGCCTGTAATCTACAGCAATGGTAATGGCGAAATAAAGGAAATAACCGTTTCCCTAACATTCGGTATTCATAGATCGAACGTTTAGCCTTACAATGGAATTTATAAAATCTTTTTCTTAATATTTTTTTTTACGAAAATGGACTTTATAAGCCCATTAACTGTTATCGCTTTTTCTGGCATTGATGGGAGTTTCCTTCCAAACCTTTTGTTTAAGATTGCAAGAATAATATATTCTTTATATCTTTATTTTTCTTTATAGATATATATGCTATCCATTTTTACTGTTGCTGGAAGGGTTCATATGAAAAATTTCTCAGAGTTAACCTGTAGAAAAAGACAATATTTATAAACGTAAAAGACAATACAGAACAGCATTAAGAAATCAAAAGAAAATGGTTGAATCCGTCAACACAGCAATAAAAACAATATCTCCACACGTGACAGTAAATGATGTAATTTCAGTTAACAGTATGAAAATAGCGTTCTCTAAATTCTTCCAGTTGCTAAGGACATTTTGTTTTGTTATTATTAGTTACTTTATTTAATAAATTCATTTCGTTTCGCCTTGAAAAAGTCCACATAGGACGGAACGCGTCGGCTACTATTACAGTTTACCTATTGTCTTTTACATTTATAAAGTGTTCATATGTAGTTTTTGTTATTTTGTAAAGTTCTTTCTTTGTGATGATGTAGCTTCAGACTTTTTATATGATCAAAATATTCATTCGCTTAAAGCTATTCTTAATTTTTAATCATCGATCTGAAAAAAAAAAACAAAAAAACTGCTGATGCCTTCTAATTTTTTTGGACAAAATACTAGCGCTCTAATCAACTCTAAATTGGTTAAGCATTTCCCCACGCAGGGATTTATTTCAGATAAGCAAATATCGCTTACGCTTCTCTTGATAAACTGCTGATTATTACTGAAAGATTCTATTAAGTTTTAAATAAAAACGGCGAAGCTCGGGCCGTTGCTTTAGATAACTTGAAGACATTTGACAAGGTTTGACATTCAACTTAATTTAAATTTAAACGCTTCGTTTTAAGTAACAACATTTTCTATGTTATTTGAATTTTAATCATAAATTATTTCAAGCGTGTTAATTCACCTTAAAAAATTGAAATGTTCACTTGAATAATTGTGCAACTGCCAGTACGAGAATGCACATGCACAGCTACATACACGCACACACACATACGCTCACACACACGTGCCTGTATACACAACGCGCATGCACGCACACACACACACGCATAGTGAATATAAAATTATCGTGTTTTTTTGTTTTTGTTTTTTAAACAAACATAGCCAATCATTTAATAGGCAGTTTCTCCTTGTTTATATTTTGTTATATGGGCGCGTGTTGGAACGTTCGTTTTTTGACTAGGAGGCCCGGGTTCGAATCTCACTATGCCGTTAAATTATATATTTTGAAAAGAAAGTTTCTTTAAGTGAAATTGGGGCTGCCAACTCAGAATTAGATAAATTTATAATCTCAAATTAGGAGTGAACGGTAGCTGTATTTTCTCTCTAGAAAATTTATTCTCTTTTTCTGTCTTACCTGGTTTTATTTGCGAAGCCATTTCGTGGTTTGTGCATCTTTCGTGTTGTCAGATCAGATTGTAACACTTTTAGAATCCTGCCAGGTTCCACAGGGCGCGGTTCGTAGCTATCATCGCCACTGATTGCTGCACTGTCTGGCAAATGGAGTGCCGTAGCCTCGGACATTGTGATAACAGCTTTTGCATGGGCATGTGCCACTGCTTGGGCATCTTCATAACATGGTGGAGGTCCATCATCCTCGTCAGGATCCGGCAAGTAAAACCAACCTGGAAGCAGAATAAAAGTTGTTGTTATTTCAATGATAATGACTATTACTATTTCACGCAGTCTCTCTCTCTCTCTCTGTTATAGTGGAACACACCTATTCTATAGTTAATAGACTCTCCCACCTATAATAAGTAGGAGTAGTAAGAGTAACACGTCAGTCGCTCAGAGAGTGGGTCAGTCAGTCGATGTCGGACGACCGTTAGTCGGATATTAAAGTATCAGCCACCACAACTAGATTGCTGCGTCATTACCTATTATATCAAGTTCCTAACGTTTTGTACGTCGAACCTATTTTAGGACCGACCTAGTACAAATACAAGCCTCCACTGTGAAACCACTCTACAACGCACACACACACACACACACACACACACACACACACACACACACACACACACACTCTCTCTCTCTCTCTCTCTCTCTCTCTGTGTGTGTTAGGTACATTTACTCTCCATCTATCTCTCTTTGTTCTGGTATATCTACTCTCTGTCTCCGCTCTCTCTCTCTCTTTCTCTCTCTCTCTCCTTGTTCTCTTATATCTACTCTCTGCCCCCCTCTCCCTCTTTGTTCTGGTACATCTACTCTGTGTCCATCCTGATCCCTCTCTTTCTTTTTGTTCTAGTGCATTTATTCTCTGTTCCCTTCTCGCTTTGTTCTGGTACATCTACTGTCTGTTTCTCCTGCACACCCTCTCTTTATTCTCGTATATCTTCTCTCTTGCCCACTGTCTCCTTATCTGTCCCTTTCTCCTTCTGTCCCTCTCTCTTTCTCTTTGTTCTGGTATATCTACTCTCTGTCTACCCCATCTCTTTTTCTATCCCCCCTTTCTGGTATATCGAATTTCTGTCACCCCTTCCCTCTCTCTCTCTCTTTTTATACTGGTACATCTACTCTCTATCCTTTTCTATAAACTACTAACTATATTCTTAATAGACCGATATGGGGTCGGGGTAGCGTAATGGTTATCAGCACTTTTTGCGGAATAAGCGAGCCGAGTTCAGATTCCGTTTACTTTTACACAGAATATCTTTGGGAAAATGTATAGTTTTATTTATCCATCCTCCCTAGCTATAGATTAATAGCAGATTAGATTGGGTTCTTTAGCTAAGGAGATAGACACTGCTAAATTCAAAAACCCTGGAGAAGGAAATGGGAAACCACGCTACAATATTTCCCAAGAAGTCATGAGATTTCACAATAAAGAAAAGGAATGTGTGGAGAGCTATGATCGCTTATGTCCTGAAAGGACATTTAAAGAAAAGGAAAGTTTGGAGAGCCATGATCGCCTACGTCCTGAAGAGACATTTAAAGAAAAGGAACGTGTGGAGAGCAATGATCGCCTGCGTCCTGAAAGGACATTTAAAGAAAAGAAATGTGTGGAGAGCCGTGACTAAGAAGTCTGTGGCGTCAACTTCGCTTTGTTGTTTTTTTTTACCAATTATATCCACTTATTGTAACTCCTGCAACTTAAAAAATACTTCTACTTCATGCCGACCTCCGGTACCAACCTATTTTTACATTCCCCCAAAATAATAATCCGCAAGAAATTTCTACCCACCAAGTAGTTATTAGATCCCACTCAAAACTTATTAAGCACTTGAGAGTACATCTTGAAGGTTACATGGCATTTAGTTAAGTGCCTGTCGCCAGCATCTTGTCATTTGTGATCGAAGGCCAAAATTGATGCTTTTAATTAATTCCAGGGAACATGTCTCGAAGGCAGCCACCCGCCATTGTATTGTGAAGGGTAGGATCAGTAATATCCGATGGAAGCGAACCTATTTTTATATGACTGGCTATTGTTGTCTTGAATCGTGATGCGTATTCGATAGGTATTAGGATTACTCCACATTAAAAATAATTTATGTTACATTTTATCCTCGTGATGTGAATACTTTTTTGTTTTCCTCTTAGTCTTCCTCGTAGTTTTCTTCTTCTTTTTTGGAAACAAGGTGAATTTTTCAGTGTGAGTTTATGTGTGTTAGATAGATAGATAGATAGATAGCTGGTAATGGTGATATTAACCGTTTTCTTCATTTTTCATTCACCGAGTAGCTAGTGACATTGTCGGTTGAAATTTATAAAATCTTTCTATTAAAACTATGTTTCCGGAAAAGTTTCTCAAGTCCAGTAGCTGTTATTGCTCTTTCCAGTATTGACATTGGTGGAGGGTTTCCTTCCTAACTATTTTTTTTTTTTGAAGAAGTCATTAATTTGTTATTTTCTGTTCGACTTACACGTGCTATCCATTTTAGTTGTTGCTGTTTCTGCAAATCTTTAAGTGATGTGGTTCCTGTTATTTGGTAAATGTCTTTATTTGGGATTATGTAGCGCCAGTCTACAAGTTTCGAAGAAAGATGCTCCTCGCTAAGGCTTATAGTCTTCATTTGCCCGAAACCATTTTTAATCAATGATCTGAGAAAACGGTTGCATACAGCTGACAGTTTAGATATTTTTGAAAGAATTTGGTGCCATGCATGGCATCCTTATAAAAGTCTAAATCTGACAATTTTATTTAGATAAATAAGATAGACAGACAGACAAACGGGCTTAGTTAATATGAACAGATAGATATTTTTCGATGTAGTATAAAAGAATTTTTTATAATGTACCAAGTGAATTCCTTTATATCAAAGATTACATACATTAATTACAATTTTTATGCGACTATCGAGGAAGACTGAAAGTATTTTTTGTGAGGGTGAAAAACTGTCTCGTGTTGACCGCCACCCCTTGTGAGTTATGAAGCACTTGAGGCAAAATTTGAGATCCCCATAAAAATTGATTTACTCGAATACTACTTAAGAGTTGTTACTGTTAAGCGAATTATCGATTGCTCCAAAGTAACTCTTTTTGAACTTCTTTGTGTCGTTAATAAATCCAGAGTCAGAATTTCCCATAACTCATGCATTGTCTTTTCCTGACAGACAGCGCCATTTTATATAATGTTTACATATATGAACTAATGTAAGTAATTCTATATATATTTATTTCACTGAGTATAATTCATTTTATTGAGTTACACATACAAGGACATATATTTCATATATAACACGAGGCATACACACTGAGCCATAATATTATGACCACCAGCATCATAAAGTTAAGATGAAAAATTGGTCATCTTCATCCTATCTGGCATACACTTATCTTGGTCGCTCAATGACTTGGTGGTTGGTGATTTTTCCCTCGTCCGACGTCTCTTGATATATACTCACAACATCTGAATATGATCCCCTCAAAAGCAGCGCCCTTTCGGAAATATCCAGTATTGTAGCCAAGGCCCGTCACCAGTTTTGGGTGGAGAGACTCGGCATTTAAGTCAGTAAAAATTTGCACATTAAAATTAGTTCACCTCTTGAAAACGGCCCTATCTGTCCATAATAATTTGGCTTTTATCAAAGCCACTCCAATTTTTCATCTTGACTTTGGCATTGAGCATATCAAGGTCGACTTACCTGCTTCTGACTCTGTTGTTATGTCACACGAGCTGTCATTCGTAACACATCGTTGGTCATGGTGTTTTGAAAATATGTATTCATATACAGGCAATATCTATCTATCTATCTATCTATCTATCTATCTATCTATCTATCTATCTATCTAGCTAGCTAGCTAGCTAGCTAGCTAGTGAGTTAGCACTTTTCACAGATGATACACTCTGAACTTAGGAAAAGCGCACAGGTACTTTGATTTTAAACAGAAGCGTCACTTCATGTATAAAAAATCGTGTCATTTCTTGTGTGTACTAGGCTAATATATATATATATATATATATATATATATATATATATATAATATCGCACATATAGTACTGGTGTTAATAAAACAGTGTTTGGTGTAATAAAATATAGCTATTAAGCATATACTAATATATATATATATATATATATATATATATATATATATATATATATATATATATATATATTATCCCTCACTCATAGCATGACTTGGAATTTCAGGCACAACGCAATCTTCAGGTGGTGAGTATAGACTGCCCGTTACGTAATTTTAATTTTAAAAAATATATCTTGTTATCGCAAAGTTGGCGCAATTTTATATTATACTGGGATTAAAGTTTTTTTAATTTTAGAACATATATTTGGCATTTAAAATAAACGGGATTTTTATATATATGTATATGTAAAAATATTTTAGAGTTGTGAATATTATTTTTTTTATTAAGCATAAATGGAGATTACTGGTTCATTAAAAATCACAATTTACATTAAAAATTAATCTGGATTAACGTGTTTGAGAAGATATTTATTTTTATGCCTACATGTAACCATTAATTTCTCTTGTTTAACAAGATAAATTTATTTAATAAATAACATATTAAAGTGTTTCAAGATTATTATTTTTTCAACGACATAAATTACATCTATTGCCTTTTCCTTTGTAAGATTTGGCTTATATCTCACGTAATAATAGGTGTATTACAACTATTCTTTAATTACCGGAAATGTTTAGAATAGTGCTGTTTATGTATTCTATATTGCCTAAACTTTTTTGATCATGGTAGAAACGAGATTTCCAAGGATTTTCAGTGGAACCAAAATAGAATTTGACTTTGTTGCCGGAATGTATGCTAGCTCGGTATACAATATTATCAGTCATACATTTATTGTTTAAAGGACAGATCATATTTTTTTGGCAGTTGCATTTACTTAAAAAAATTAACTCTGTTATGTGCGTTGGACATGTATTTGTTTAATATAATATTGTTATGTTGGGATATAGATTTATCGATGTTCCTAACGCAGCTATAAGTATGATCTTAACATTATTTTTGTTAAAAATCTTTTTTTAGTGTTGATTAAAGTGCTTATGAATTAAATTTACGAAAATTCTTCCGATATTTGTTTGAAAATTACGATTAAAAGGTGGATTAAACCATGTGATGTTACGCTTACGGTGTTTCTATTTATTTCTACTTTGTTTTTTTTTCTAAATACTCTAAATTTACATTTTGGCTGCTTTGTTCTAGAGCTTTTATATATTTAATTTTATTATTATTATCAAATATTTCCTTATTGCTGGAGTTAGTGGATAATCTAACTTTGATTCGTTACTAATGTATCTATGGTTATATAGATCTTTGGCAAGGACTAAGTCATATTTTCCGATTGACTATTTTATTCAATTTCTCTTCTCTACAAATTTATTCTGAGAAATTTAACACGGACACACACACACATATAATGTAATGAAAGCGGAGATGGCATCTATTATAAAAATCAGGATGTCGAATTAGTAAATACCAAACATTTTAAAAACCTCGTTGTATGGATCATGTATAATAAATTTAGTATAGGAGATAAGGGAATTGAACATAGAATACGCTGTGCTAGAGGTAGTTTCGCACAATACCGCACATTGCTACAAAACCAAAACATTAACTTAAAAGCTCATGCCTTGTTCTTAAATGGTTTCGTCAAATGAAGACTTTCATGCATGGCGCCAAACTCGTTCAGAAATATCTCCACTGTAACTGTCAGCTGTATACAACCGCTACAAAATCATAAAGAACTTTACCAAATAACAGAATCCACATCACTTGAGAACTTTCATCAGCAACCACAACGAAAATGGATGGCACGTAATTCATAGGGAAAATAATGACTTAATCGAGACGCTGATGTTCCGCTTTACTTCAAACAAAAGATTAGGACGGAAACCTCTCTCGGTACTGAAAAGGGAAATAGCAGCTACTGGTCTGGAGAAACCTATTTTCTTAAAAAGATTGTTATAAGAGAAAGATTTTATAAATTTCAACCAAAAGCAGCACTGGGTGCTCAGTCAATGAACACTAAATTTTTTCTCATAAGAAAACGTTTATTATTACATTTGCCATTACTATATTACGTTAAAAATAAGTAAAATAAGTAGCAAAATATAAACAAAAACCATATTTAATAATCATAGCATTTTGAAAATATATATTAAAGAAATATCAATTTAAGTGATTTGAATGAATGAGCGAGAAAAAATGTTTTTTGTTTACCTGAGCACCTTCACTGAGTGAATGAAGAGAGTTTTTAAGGTAGGGGACTTTGTGGGAAAAATGACAAACGATTGTTCATATAAATCCCCCAGGTGGCAGAAGTAGAAGCAATGGAAGTTGTAAGAGGAAAAAAAGATAGAAATCCAGGAATTGTATTTGGTTTACTTGGTCAAAGCGATCAGATTTTTAACAGTTCTACATTGGGAAAGAAAAGAATTAAGGCCTAAGACCCCACGTATTCCATTTCCCTCCACCTAGCTTCTTTGTCAGGAGTTGGTATATGCATGTTCTTTACTCTTGTTCATTTAGTTTAAACCACAGTTCTCAAGGTTAAAAAAAAAGTTTAAATCAGAAAGAGGAAAATGTCAAATTAATAATGGTGAAAAAAACGTTTCTTTCATTGACTATTGGAAGTTTTTTTTCGCAAAATATACATCATAGAATTGCATCCATTTTATCTTAACTGAGTAAACAAATTTGAACGTACGTAGTAGTATATATGGATATGTTTCGCTATCATCCGCGGATTTTACCATCTGCAAGGGACCTATATACCACACACATTATACGGGAGTTTGTGTGGGTTGGTGTGTAATTGCAATAGCTTAAACGTATGCTAGGCCACAAAAATCTCCTGAGCCGACCAAGCATAGAAATAAATACAATATGGGAACCATATGGGAAATAAATACAATATGGGAGTGCCAGAGAAAAGCAATGATAACAAAGTTGCAATATGAACTCTGGTAAAGACATGCAATGATAACAGCAAAAATTGCAATATGAGCACTGGTAAAAATGATGCTGAAAACATTAGGTTTATAATACTCAGAAGTTCATACACAGATGTCCTCAAGGACACATGGTACAGTGGATAAAGGCGTTGGTTAGATCCAGTGACAGACCCAAAGAAGGTGAGTTCAATTCCTGCAGTGGGGATCTTTCAGAGGGAAAATTATCAGATAACTGATAACTGACATCCATCAAACATGGCACGTGGAACTAGAACAGTCTACCAGTGATCACCAGTCTACCCCAGTGATAAAGGGTTCAGTTCGAAATTCCTGAAGAAGGCCGGAGCGTACAACGGCCGAAACGTTGTGACAAATATGAGGACAATAGTCCGACTAATGTAAATACTGTACATAATACCTCATCTCGGAAATATAGACAGAGCTTAAACGTATCAGCGCAAGTTGACCGAAAGTATGGGGCACTCAGTAAGGTCACTACTCAGTCGTAATTGTTCTAGCGAGACAAGCTTGCTAACCATTACCCCACATCGTGGTACACTTTTTCCAGTTAGTTATAGTTATATGTAACAGAACATGTATTATATAAATAGTTAGATTTCAACATAGCTTTAAATAGATATTTTATAAGCTTGGTCTATACAGAGATAATTCATACACACAAATCTCTCTCTCTCTCTTTCCCTCTCTCTATCTCATTCTACAGAGTTTAGTAAATATCTATACTGAGAGAATGAAGACTTATTCACATCTGAGTCTTATGTCAGACTTTGGCATCAATGCAATTGTGTGTTTGTGTGTGCATGTCTCTGTATGTAGAGAGAAGAATAAATACTAACAATAAGATATAATGGATTCAACCACATACTCACACGTATAGAGACACACGCACGCACACAGACGCATACAGGCACAGGCATATGCATACACACTGTTGTATATAGAAACATAGAGCGTTGGAAACAGCCACAGGCACTTGAAAATAAATGTCGGCGATATTATTCCGAAGAAAAAGACGGTCTTTGTCTTTGACCTTCAGTCGTGTTGCCATTTTCAGCGTAGACAGTATAAGAATCGATTTGGATGGGTTTCAGCAAAATTAATTTTTCTTTAATTTCAGAAATAGCAAAATAACTTAGTGCAAAAATGTCCAAAATAACAAACACAACGTTTTATTAGCCAAGTTGCCATCCATTGATACACAAACACGTACGCAAAAAGCGAAAAACCTTAGGTAGTATAGAAGTTACTAATGCTTTTATATAGTGCAGGGGTCGGCAACTTACGGTACGCGTACCACACGCGGCACGCCAAACAATTTCTATTGGCACGCAGCCACAAATGACATCACGAAGTCCGAACCAATAGCTAATACAACGCAATGATATTTAGTTGTTTCAATTTTAATATATACTAAATTATGTAAGCTATATATTACTATATAAAATATATTGTAGAACAGGTATATTGATATTATATTATTATTTTATATAAATATATATGCTGTTGGCACACTGAAAGATTTTAAAACCATAAATTGGCACATAGTTAGCAAAAGGTTGCCGACCCCTGATAAAGTGTGTTAGCAATAATGTACTTGTTATTTTCTGAACGTCGAGGACAGGATGAACTATCTGTCTATGTGGATCATTGTGGCAATATAAGTTTGTTAGAGTCCGCACGTCGGTCATGGGGACCTTTATAGGAGTTGTGGGTTACGAAACACTAATAAAAACAGATTGGGGAAAAATGTGACAACGATCTTCGTGTTTGTCATTGGTAATAAAAATACTGTAAAGATGGGAAGGCCAATCCGTTAGGCTAACGTGGATGTCAGTTGTCAGAAGGG